CCACATGCAAACAATCTAGCTTCCCTTACCTGAAGATTGGCTCAGATAGCCAAAAACTGAACAAAAGTAGAATTTCCCTTTGAGGCTCAACTCAGAACTTCAATCCTCCCAAAACAAGCTTTCTAATATGAATTTCAAGAAAAGACAGAAGGAGTTATTGATCTAGAGGAGAAAAGGAGTCAAACAGAGAAATTTGGGAGAGAAAGGAGCTCACTGACCCAGAGACCTTCTCTCTAAAACTTCTCTCTAAAAACTCACATTTTCCTAAAGGCCCCTAACCCCTATTTATAGATTTTCGGACTGCCCCAGAACGGCCCGTACCGAGTTCGGAACGGCCCGTTCCGAACTCCCAATTCACGCACAAAATCCACGCCTAGAACGGCCCGTTCTGAAATCAGAACGGCCCGTTCTCCCTCCGGAACGGCCCGTTCTGGAATTTGGAACGGCCTGTTCTCCCTTCGGAACGGCCCGTTCCCAACCACGAATTTCAGTTTAATTTAATAGCTTGGAACGTCCCGTTCCAGATTGGGAACGGCCCGTTCCAGGCAACTAAATCAGTCATTTTTATTTATTTATTTTTTTTAAACCACGTTACACCATGTGTCTTGTCATTATACTACATGTCATGTCAACATGTCAAGTGTCATGTCAACATGCCAAGTACATGTCATCATGTCACGTGTCATGCCATGTGTCATGTCATCATGCCACGTGTCATGCCATGTGTCATGTCATCATGTCACGTGTCATGCCATGTGTCATGTCACGTGTCATGATATTATGTCACTTGGCATGATAGCATGACACGTGGCATGACACGTGTTACATTGTTAAGTATTTAAACAGAAGTAACGAAAAATTAAACATTAAGATACATTTTAAAGATGTAAGACTAAATTGATTTAATTAATTAAAGTAGGACTAAATTAACACTAATAAATAATGTAAGGGACGAAAAATATATTTTTACCAAATATAAAAAACTTAAGGAGATTACTTTTCATATATAAAATTACATATGCAAAAATCTATACCGTCAATTAGTTTCCCCTAAAATCCAACGGCTGCAACAGTCGGTGCTTCAGCTGCAGGGTCCACCCCATCATAAAAGGTGGCAAGGCAGGCACACTAATGACCTACGAGAGACACAGCAAGAGGTTCGAGCGGTCAGTTTCTGTTTCGCACTGAGTCTGTAGCAACGAGTCGAAAAGCGAGTCACCGCACTGCATGGACCCTCTGGAAGCTTTACTCGCCCAAATCCAAGGGCTATCCAGCACTTCCAGCGACATCAATCGCCTCCACACTATTCTGAAGCAAGCCGATGACTCGCTCCGATCCGAGTCAACTCGCCTCTCTCCAATTCTCACTCAACTCGACCCTTCCATTCACTCCCTCGGTTTTCTCTACATTTTGTATGTCCAAAATCCGCAAAAATGAAATAAAATTAGCGTTATTCGTCGATGCTCAAACCCTAGTTCTTCAATTCTTCAATATTGTTATTGTTACTTTTTGTTGCGAGATTTTCACTTTTATTGTTTGTTATGATTGCAGAGAAGCTTCCATGCCCGCTCCAGTTACCAAAACGCAGGCTGAGACCGTCGTTCCGATCGTTACTAGGTTTATTGGTGCTTGCAGCACGGAGCAGATTCGTTTAGCGCCTGATAAATGTACGTAAATATTTTTTATTTGAATTAGATTCGATTCATTTGTTTTGCTAAATTCATTGCTTATGCACGAGTTTTAATTTACGGTTCCAGAAAATTGGTGACAAATGCGCTGATGCGTCCCTAATTGTGGTTGCAATACTGTTGTGTAGACATCCGAAACCTTGATTTTGTGGGTGAAATCATGGTTGATGACCGTTATTTAAAACCTTGTAGCTGTAGATAAGTTAAAAATAATAATAAAGTTCGTGTTGAGATTGTTCTGATTAGTTTTGTGATATTCCTTGTTTGTTAAGTGTTACAATTCATTATAAGAGAAAAAGAGAAGTTAGTGTTGGTTTAGAAGGAGGAGGGGTTTTTTAGTGAGTTGTAGTTGTTCATTGGAGGGACAAGAAAGAGGATAGACGAAGGGAGAAGGGATTTTAATTTGGTGTTTGATGTTGTTTCTAGGTTTTAAGTTGAGTGATAATTTTTCTTTTCAGAGTAATAAGTCACTTTGGTCTCTGAAATTGAAAGGTACTGTTATATAAGTCTCTGAATCGAAAGAAATTGAATAGTCTTCAAAAGTGATAATATTAATATATAATCAAGACTAAAATAATAGCAACTAAGTAATTAACTTAAGCGACTTATTTGACATTTTTTAGTTTCAGGACTAAGGTGACTACAGTTATTGCTTTTGGGGATGAAAGTGACTATTTACGCTTTATCTGTTTGGAAATTTGTAGTTTTGTTTGTTTTAGGTTGAATGATCAATGACGGAAGGAATTTTAATTTGGTTTCGATGTTATTTCTTGGCTTTTGATTGAGTAATTTGTTTTTATATTTTTGGAATTTTGTAGTCTTATCTGTGTAGAAGGTTGAAGGATCAAAGGCAGAAGGGATTTTAATTTGGTGTTGATGATATTTTTCTGGTTTTTGGTTGTGTAATTGTCGTTTTATTTTATTTTGTTTTTTGAAATTTTTTTGGTTTTGTCTGTTTAAGAGGTTGAAGGATCATAGGCAGCATAAGTGTTTTTTATTTGGTGTTGATGTTATTTCTCAGCTTTTGGTCGAGTAATTCTGTTTTCTTTTGGGGGAATTTTGTAGTTTTATCTGTGTGTAGGAAGTTGAAGGACCAAGTGATGCTGTTGGAAGCTCCGATACGGGGTGTGGCTCCTTTGTTTACTGCTCTTCGGAAACTTCAGGTCTCTGTGGAACACTTGACTCCCCTACATTCAGACTTTCTTCTGCTTTGCTTGTTGGCAAAGTGCTACAAAACTGGTTTATCCTTATTGGATGATGATGTTTTCGAAGTAGACCAACCACGAGACCTTTTTCTTTATTGTTATTATGGGTGCGCAGCTTTCATCCTTTCTTTCATTCCTTGCGGGTTTGTTCATATTTTTAGTGTTGCATTTTAGCATTGATAACATATTATTGATTTTTCTTATTTTTATTTAACATGCTGTAGGTAGTGTTGTGTTGTTTACAATAATGTTGTGCTTGTAGTTTTTTAACATTTAAATTCACTTTGGTACGGAGTTGGGAGGGGAAGGATGAAGAAATTAAAACAAAATGAAAGGGGAGTGAAGGGAATTACGGAAAAGTTTGGAAATTTAATAAAATTCCTTTCTTTGTTTGGGTGTTTAAAGTCCTCCAAATTGGTGGAATTTTTAAATGTTCACAACATTAGTGAGGGACGGTTTGGTGTGGGGTGTTACAAGGAAATATCTTATTTCCCTCCCCTCATTTTAGAAGACTCTCAAATCAGGGAAAGATTTGCTTTAAATTTTCCCCTCCCACATCTCTGTTATGATACTAGAAAAGAGAAATTCAGAATTTAATGAGGAAATCAATAGAAAACCCAAATGAATAGATTTAGCAAAGCTGAAATAATATTCTGTATCCTTGGAGTCTATAACTGTGCTGAGCCCATGGCTTCTCAGAGGGAGATAACCCTCTTTCACTCTACCACATAAGGAAAAGATGCTATTCTCTACTCTACCCTTACCTGCATACATGATGTATACTTCCCCTATTACAACAGAATCATAATAGCCTCGTGCTTCCTATCTCTGCATTCCTAAAATACTCTCCTCTTCTAACTCACTCAACACTCCATTGATTCCTCCTTTCCATGTGCAAGCTCTCAAAATGCTGGGTCTTTGTCCTTGGTAACTCTGCACCATCTCACTCCCTAAATTCTCCTCATCAATCTCCCATCCAAATATTGCCTTACAGAATTGCCTCTTTAAACTTTTAATTAAAATTATTCTGCTCATATGATATGCATATATACCTTAAGGAAGTGAATCTCACCACAAACCTAGTCAGTGTAGTGGAAAAATGACCAATATCATATAAACCCTGCATCAAAATTCTAAATTTCTTATGTGGTACTCCTTTACCATACCTTACAATTTTGGGGTCCTAAATTCCACCTGCTCTACAGTGCCATGCCCTCACATGCTGGCTGTGTACCAGCACTTATGACTATTCACCAGTGAAAAAGCAATGTTGGCTCACCACCTTCACTGTTTGTTTGGGACTAAGATATGGTGGTAGGCTTTAATATCAAATAGCTGGGTATCTTCAAAGTGACCTGTAATATCACTGCAATAACTAGGAAATGGAAAGAGATGCTGCAGGTGCTTTCACGGACCTGCTTCCTCCTTCCCAAAACACTCACCCCTTGCCTACCCATCTCTCTTGCTTCCACTTCCTCTTATACTCTCCCTTCAACTAAATTATCCTCTGGTTCTTCCTATCCCAGCAATGAATCTTTTATGCCCTTATCTCTGAACATATGATATATCTCCTATATCTCACATTATTCCTTAAATAAACACAATATGCGAGGTCTTTCGTTGTTTTTGTACCTTCCTTACTTTTTATGGTTCTCATTTCTTTTTTGGATATATATTTTTATTAGTGGCATATTCTCTATGGTAAGAAGCTACCTGAAATATAATAGAGCAAAAGCACACTACCAGACAAGTTCAGTTTTTTGGGGGAATTTTCAGAAGACAAACATATTATGGATCTTGTCTTCCATTCTCTTTTAATAGAATGAACTTTGATGCAATCTTAAGGATACAGCCTTGTGACCTAGTGGTCACAGGCTTAAGGTTGTGCACTGCTAAGATTCCCTAGACCCTACTAAGTGGGTGCCTTGTGCACTGGATTGTTCTTTATAAGCCCAATTTATAATCTTGGGAGACAGGCTCATTTAGGGTTAGGGGGTTTCTTTCATGAATTGTTCTTCTCTGAGTTGCATAAAAAGGTAAAAGTTTTCTGGACTGAAGTCATTGAACTAAATTCTGGAAGGAATTTTATATGACAATAAATGTTTTGAAACACTGTTTTCTTTGTTTCATGCTTCTTTGATTTCCTACATAATCTTTTTACCCCTAACAAATATTAGTCTTGAATTTTAGGACAACGTCAAACCAGTTAACTTGTAGGTTTTTGTTGTTTCTTGCTGAAATGCTAATTTGACTATATGTTAGGATATCAAGTCAGCAGCCAACAGAGAATAAAAAAGCCTTGTGTGTTTACTTAAGATTTGAAACAAATCAAAAGAGAACAATCATTGTAACTAAGTAGTGGTTAGAAGTCAGTTTAAAAGTAGTTTTAGGCATTTAAAGACAAGCCTATAAATAAGACTTCGGAAGTAAATGAGAACAGTTTTGGGAAATTCATCAGTTTGACTGTGTTGTTCTCAGTGTGAAGGAGGTTGCCCTTTGTGTAATTCTATTCCTATTCTTTCTAAATAAAGAGGTCTATTCCAATGATTTCGATTCCAGTCTTTCTTGGTCTTGTTTTGTCTGGGTTCCTAACAGTATCCTATGTATATCTTTTGTGATTGTTATGGTGTATTTGATATGGATGCACAAGCAAGGAGTAAAATTAAAAGGGGTGGATTGAAAATATAGTCTATCATTATTCATTTGTGTTCTAGTTTCTAACCATATCATATTTCTATTTCAAATGTGAGATGTAAATTTGGTTGAAATGATTTATAAATATAATGTCAAACAAAACAAGTATATTTACAAGTCTTCCACAGTTTTTGGTTATTGATTTGGGAATATGGGTAGTGTTGTTAATATGATATAACTATCTTGTGGAAGTGTTGTTTGTGTATGGTCAGGATATGTTGATCTCAGTATAAATAAAGACTTGATGTGGTTACATCTATAATCTCCTTAGAAGTTGATTGTTTAAAATCCAATCTTTAAAATTTGATACAATACCAATTTTCATATCTTATAGTACTTGCCAAAATTTATATAATTCAAGTACAATATATATTATTAGAATAAAGTAGGGAAATCATTTTTAATAAATTGAAAAGCATATTTTATATTAATTTTTCTATATAGATGGAATAGACAGTAATGTAGATTTACATGACAACTATACAAGTGTGGTATGCATGATACAAGTTTTCAATGCAACGTTGAATTTTACAATGTCTTTATTGTATAAGATAAGATAACAATGGACTTGATTTACAACAGTTTATTGGTGTCAATATATCTTAATATTATCTGTGTGGTTGGGTACATGTGAAGATTAAATGACGGTCAACTAAGGGGAATGTGAATTTCACATGATTTTTCTAAAAAATAGTTGCATGATTTTGACCTTGATGGTTCATGGGAGTTTTGAATTGTTATGGTTAACCACTTCATTTCTCATATAAGATTAGTTTTTTTGCTTAGATACTTTGGAATTAACCTCTAAAAAGCATGATACATGAAAAACGTTGATCCATTCCACTGTCTTATGTAATTTTCGCAGTGTCCTTTTGACCAAGTTAAATAACATATGTAAAAGCATGTGCTTTCTCAATTTGGGAAGCTGAAAGATTGGTAAGCCAATAGTAAGCATTTGCATTGATTTCCATTGCAGTTTTCTTGTTGATCTCTGTCTTCTAGAATCTGTAATTTCCTGCAAATGCATGACTATTCAAATGCAATGAGATATAAAAACTGAATTTATATCTTATCTAATCTTGATGTGCAGTGAATACTTGTAAGCATTTGATGATTTTAGATAATGTTTCTGGTCATGTGGTCTTGGTAAAGAATTTGTATAATCTCTGACTTTTGACCTTCTGACAGAGGTATGATATGCATTGGACAGAAGCGCTTTCAGAAGGCATTGGACCTTCTGCATAATGTAAGTAATCTACATACAGCTCCAGCTTGTATTGATCATAGTTTGTTCTCATATCAACCTTCTGGTTCAGCATTTGTAATAACTAATGGGTTATATTTTCCAGGTTGTAACTGCTCCCATGTCTACCATAAATGCTATAGCTGTTGAAGCTTACAAAAAGTATATATTGGTTTCTCTCATTCGACATGGACAGGTATATGTCTAGTTTATTTAGAGATTACACCTTTTATGTTTTGTCATGCATCGAATCCTAAACAATATCTTAATTGTCAGAAGACAAGCCCTTTGTCCATGAGATTTTTCTCATTTTGACCAAATTAACCTTTATTTTATGAGGTGCTATATTTGTAGTTTATCAGCTGACCTGCCATATGTTTGGTGGCAGTTCTCCACCAGTCTTCCAAAGTACTCTTCTTCAGCTGCACAAAGAAACCTGAAGAATTTTTGTCAGGTATGACTTTAATTCAATTGGTTGAGGTTATAAAAGACAGGGGAAGCCTTTGACCTTTTTTGAACAAAATGTTTATGCTTGTTTTCTTTTGTTTGTAAGATATTGATGGGAATAACTCCTTATCTATGTGAGAGTGTTCAACTTACCCTGCTGTTTTAGAGGGTAATCTTGCAAGACTGCTTCTAACTTACCCTGCTGTTGGGCATCCAGCTCCTTGAGATTTGTAGAAGAAGGGCTATTCAGCTTAGTTGTTTGCCATGCACCTTCTCCTTTCTTCTTCCGCTTTCTACAGCCCCTCTTGTAAGACAATGCTATGATTAGTGTCAATAACCCTGTATCCTTTGGGGTTAAATGAATCATGGTTTTGCTAGGGTAGTTGGATACTGATTCCTATCAGATATCTTGAGCATGCTGTTAAATTATGCATTGCAAGGAAAACAATTCTCATATTTTGAAGTATTTTCAGTGTTATTTATTTTCCCCACTCTGTCACAGTCTGTTATTGCTAGGTGTGGTTTTATTCACTCTTAGATGCAATTGACGACTCCCCTCTATTTTTATTCATGTTTTGCCTATTTGAAATCACTTTATTGTACTATCAATTCGAATGGAAGCATAAATTGCTGTTAGCAATTTTGTTTGGTTACTTTGTAGCACATTGCTGAATTTCATTTGACTTGCCTTCTGAGAATATATTTTGGATTTCAGCTATGTTAACCTTTTTTATTCCAATTTGGGCAGCCTTACGTTGAATTGGCAAATAGTTATGGCACTGGAAAAATTGCAGAACTAGAGGCATATGTCAAGACAAATGCAGAGAAGTTTGAATCTGTGGGTTCTTTCACATACTTGTTCTTCATTTGAAGCATCAGGCATTTTGACTAGAAGCCTGACTCTACAGTGTCTAACTTCCAGTTCTAACATTATGTGGTTACTTACCAAGTTTCTCTGGAATTGTCTGTGCATGCGACAGGCTGATAATTTATGTGAAATTTTCTGTTTCAGGACAACAACCTTGGACTAGTTAAGCAGGTTGTATCATCCATGTATAAGCGGAATATTCAGAGATTGACCCAGACATACTTGACACTTTCTCTCCAAGATATAGCCACCACAGTGCAATTAAATAGCCCAAAAGAAGCTGAAATGCATGTGCTACAAATGGTGGTCTTCCAACTGATAAACTTTGTCATTTTCATTTAGCATTAACATCTTACCACTAATAACATACTCTGAACTACAGATTCAGGATGGTGAGATATATGCAACTATCAACCAGAAGGACGGAATGGTGAGATTCTTGGAGGATCCTGAACAGTATAAAACCTGTGAGATGATTGAACATATTGACTCATCAATCCAGAGGTGTGCTTTTGGCATATTTTATGTTAAGATATATGCAACTATGTTTCACGTGAAAACTTTGAAGGCAGAAGTTTTGCTGTTTTAATATTTTTTATAATGATTAATTTGATAGTGATCTGTGCCTTCATCTTGTACTGAAGCATTTTTTTCTCAATGTCCAGAATAATGGCACTCTCGAGGAAACTAACTGCGATGGATGAACAAATTTCATGTGATCAGTTGTATTTGTCTAAGGTGAGTGTGTTTGACTGTTCTCATACTGTTATCTAAACTTGTATGTCGGGTATTTTTAAACCAAACAAGAGTGACTATGTACACAGGCTGGAAGAGAGAGACAAAGATATGACTTCGATGACTTTGATGTTCCACAAAAGTTCAACATTTAAGGCCAGGAATGGAGCTATGAATGATGCAAGTAGATCTACCGCTGGTTCTGGTTCTGAGAGCGGAATAGTGTTTTATTTCAATCACAAATGTAATAGTTCTTATTCTGTCGTGAAGTAGCTCAGAGGATGTTGAATTGTCTCTACTTATCAACTATATAACATCTATAGCACATTCTTTGCACATTTCTGTATGCCAATAGACATAATGCGGTAATATGTTGAGGTCTCAAATGACCCTCTTTTTTGGTTTTATGTTGAGACGGTAGGAGTTTAGTGAAATCCTGCTCGGCCGAAGGGTGGGGTGCAAGATATTTCAAAAGTACAATACCGTTTATTAACCATTCACTTGCCTACGTTATAAATGTTCTTAAGTATACTTGTAAGAAAATAAATGTATAATAACTCAAGTTGTTTCATACTAATCAAGGATCCAGGTTTGATTGAAGTTGCGATTGCAATTTGAAAGTATATTTTACTCCTATAGTAGTCAATCCGGGAATGACTTATATGCTTTTTATAAAATAAAAAAATAAAAAAAATATTTAATAAATTACATTGACAGTAAATTGTGTCAACAAAATCTGTTAAATAAATATTAAAATTCATTAGATATTTTTAATATAATTACACAAATGTAATGATAGAAAAATCAAAAGTACAATTAAAATAATAAATGATAAAATATTAAAAAATAAATAAAAAATTGAGATGTAGGCTTACATGTGCGACTTAATAATTTATTTGTTTTTAAAAGTGTTGAAATGAGTTATTTAAATTATAAAATGTAAAAATAAACGATGTGTAATGGTAGAATCTATTTAAATGTGTAAAATGCGAAAAAAAATAAATGATAAAAAAAATGGATTTGTTAGTTGGAGATGGAATCCCAATTATTTTGTCGCTTAAGAGAAAACGCCTATTAAAACACCCCTTCTTTCTTTCTTTGGTAGTTCTAGATATATGTTTATAGACATTCTCCTCTATACTAAATGATAATTAAAGTTTAGTAGGTGTACACTATAAGTGTCAACTAATTAAGAATTATGTTTGGCATGACCAATAAAATAGTTATTATTAAAGTTAATAAACGTGTAATATATGGTGTTCTATAAATATTAGTGAGCAGTATAAAAATTAACACTTACATTGAATTAATATTTAATTCCTCTAAACAAAAACAAAAATTCTCATATAAATTTCACAAATAATATACTATGGTATTAACTTTGAAAATGTTGAACTTGATATGAGTCCATTTTTTTATATATAAACTCGTAATTTAAATATCAATTTTTTTTAAGTATAATTTTTTTTAATAATTATATTATTGATATAAAGTATTTATAAATTTTATTGATAATTAATTTCTATTAGAAAATTTGATAAGATACTTTTAGTGGATAATTTGAACAATTGTAAATGTATGATAGCTCAACTAATCAAATTTTCCTTTCATAATCATTGAATTTTGTTGACCTTAGTTTTTCAGATAAAATGGTTTCAACTTCGCATAGCAACACTTGTTCTTTTCTTGTAAGTTGTAAGACTTGATAGCATGAAATGAAATCAGTTTTCACATATTTCCAGATTACTGTAACTTTTGTTTTCTCATTGGAACCAAAAACGAATTATTTAAAGAATTTAACAATAATACAGTATCAATATAAAATAGTTTTACATGATTATTCAGTCATAAATCATCATTAAACTCTTATTTAAATTTATCGAAACTCATTCATACACGGATACACCACCCCTACAAAAATAAAAACAAAAGCATTATAACCTAGAGAAAGCAAGTTTACTTAATTCCTTTCTCATTAATTTCCCAGCAGCATTCTTTGGTAATGAATCGACAAATACTACACGCCTTATTTTCTTGTATGATGCAACCTGTAACCAAGAAAAAACGCCAAAATAAAAATAATAATATGTATATATATACCGATATACATCCATTTAATAACATGTATACAAGAGGAGAGAAATACTTGGTTGAGTTAAGCTATTGTTTTTCTTTTTTCTCCTCTCACATGTATATTTCATCCCCAATCCACTAGTAAGAGACTAATCTCACATAATGGATATTGAACACAGGAATTTTTTGTTAAATAGATCATCTCCATGATGTAACTAAGATATTGGTTGAATAAATTTATTCAAATACACTTTTAAGATATAAAAAAGAAATTAAAATGAACTTGACTTCGTGTATAAACTAAAATTTTATTTTTAACTTATGCATAAACTAGTTTTAACTTATAGAAAAACTCATTTTGATTTTCTTTGTTATTTTTCTCTCCTGAAAGTACTTATAAAGAAGCTCATCCAAACATATCCTTAAATTTTATAAAAGCTCTACTTTTCTTTAACTTCTCTAAAAGTTACATTACGTAGGTTATTTGAATTACAAAAATATTTAATGTATTTTATTTTATTATTTTTTTTACAAGTTTTCAAGGAGAAATTTATGTAATAGAACCTAAAAAAATTGTAAATATACAAAAGAAAGCACGAGGGAAAAGCAAGCACCTGTTTGGCGACAAAATCAATTATTTGTGCTTTGTGAAGAGAACTTTGGGGTTGTCTTACCACTAATGCCATGGGCACCTGGCCAGCTTCTTCATCAGGGTATCTGTTAATGATGAAATTAAAGGTTATTAATTCTTTCCTATAAAATCTTGTGTATTTGTGAATTGTGAATATGTTATATGTGAGTTCCAGTTTCCTATTTTAATAATAATTTTAAAACAGTGCCTCAGAAATGCGAATTTGGATGAGACGAGGAATAAGGATTTATGGTTTACTAGGAAAAAGAGAGGCCCATTGTGTCTTTTTTTAAATAAAAACAAAATAAACGAGAGTGTAGTGGGTAGTTTAAAAATTAATTAAAGGATAAAATAATAGATAATTAAGGAATGATTATAGGATAAAATAATTTAAGGGTTGGATTTACAAAATTCATATTTAATATAAAATTATTAAGTGGTATAACACTTGGCAAAAGTTATATCAGTATCATTTCAACCCTCTTCATATATATA